CCACCTGTAGCTCCGTTTCTGCCTTTACACTTTTCTGGAATTTCACCGCCGAAAGTGTATAAACCAAGTAAGTGGGCCTTGCACCCGAGGGAGAATCTAGCCCTTCTTGCTGTCCCTAACACATTTATTCATTTAATTTTTCGTGTGTGACTCAGCTGAACCTTGGTGCGACTTTTTCGAGTCCACGATCAAACCACCTACGTGGTGATTGATTTCATACCATGCATACACTCCCACCCATGTCAATGCCCATAAATGTAGTACAACTCATGCATAATGCAATACAATGTCCATTACATAATGAATACAATATAATTATATTTTAACACAATCTCAAGCATGTTATGTAAGATAATCAACTCAACTAACATACTTGTATTCACCTAGGCATTTAATCAAACACCTAAAGAGCATATCAATTTACACAACTAGCATGTTATGACTTGCAACATGACAACCTGTTTATTAATTATATAAACATAAGCACAAGTTCACCAAAATAATCATATGTTAAATAATCATTTAACATACATATTATTTTATAATCACATAACAAGTTAATAATTTTATTAAACTTGATCTGCCATTAAAATATAAAGTAATGCTAATATACAATTAACATGCTTTAAACCACTAACATTAATTTACATCAAGTTAATCACAATAGAATTTTATTAATCACAAGAGTAATTATAAATCTTATATTTGATCCATTAGTTAAGACCTAACATGTGATATACACTCATAGTCTACTCATTCCATATGTCATATTTTAAGTTGAAATTAAATCTAAATAGGGGAAACTCTACCTCTCGTAGCATGAGCCCACTTACTAGAACGTCAAGGAAGTCAAAATTTAACTTCTTAAATTTTAGGCTTAGATTATCGGTTTTGATATTCTTTCGGAGAAAAATACGATATTTGGTGTGGTTGCGTAGCTCTCGCTGAGTAGAACAACTTTAATTTTTTGCCTGAAACGATTAAACGGTTAAATTTTCGTAGATATGAGAAGGAAGAAAAGAAAAAAAAACAAAAAAAAACTTACTTTTTCTTTCACTCTCTCTCTCGCCGGCTGGAGAAAAAGTGAAAGACTTTTTTAAATTTCACTTTTATATATCTATAGAATAAATTCATTATTTTAAAAATTTATCTTTTTGACCCATATTTTAACAAATAATTATTATTTTACCCCTTTAATTAGGATTTTTAATAATAATACTTTTTTTTTTCCAGTTTTACTTGATTTCGAGTTTGTGTTGAAAATTCTAAAACCCAAACCTGACATGTTTAATAATCATGTCGGGATGTGTAAATACTAACTTAACGTAATCATTAAACGGGTTATTCGAACCCGACCTATTTGATACGTTTAATAAATAAATTATTTTCAGGTTAACACACATAACATGATCTGTTTAATTTGTTTAGTACACATAACATAGATTTGTTTAACACACATAACCTGTTTTTACACTAATTTATTACCATTTAATACATCATTCATCCAAATTTCAAATAATTTTTTTAAATAACATATCACTTCTCAATCCAAAAATTAAAACAAGAATTATACTAATATACTGTCAAACTAATGTTAAGAACTATACTGTCAATTATCATAATAGAATGAAGAACTAATAAATACTAATGTTAAAGATTACATCAGTCATACACAATAGATAAACTATTGTCATAAACAGGTTAAACGGGTCTACAATGGATTATGTCAGGTTCATGTCCGAATCATGTCAACCTGTTTAAAATATACAGGTTAATCAGGTCAAAATCGAGTTGACATAATTTTGACATGAACCCGACATGATTTTTTTTCTTGTTTAAGCAGACTGACTCATTTTAATCCATTAACTCATTTAATTTTGTATCTGACTCATTAATTTCGCGTTCGGTTTGTATCGTGCCGAAATTTTTGATTTTTGATTTTTTTAGCTAGAGTGATTCAACATAGACTTTCGTGCCGAAAATTGACAGCCCAAGTTACAACCGAAAGTTCGGCCGTTCAACAATGCAAAAGACCTTGATAAAAGGTTGGTTGATCGGTTGACGAGGTTTTCGATCTATGTAGCTTTTATGGCATTCTCTTATTAGAAAAGATTGTTGGTCTATTTATGTATATACTTGTCTAAACTGTTGTGAGTGATAACCTAAAATAAACAAAATCATATGCAATTACCAGTTAGTTATAGTGAGATCGCAATCGAACCCACCTCTAGTGGTTGGACAGGTCCCTCAAGGACGCTTGCTTAGGTGGGTACGTAGTGACAAGCTCAAGGTCCTTAAGTGGGCCCACATAGGGACTTGTTGTGCTTTAGGGAGCGAATTGAGTTTTAAAACCGTGAGCAGCTATTCACAACGGACAATATCATTGAATTATTACAAAAAACTTTTCTACATGGGCCAAATTTCGAATTGACATTTGTGGTGCAGATTTATTTTTTCCCTTTTTTTGAGTGTGTGTGTGTGTTCTTGCACATGCTTGTGCTATCACACAACTTTCAACAATCTCCAGCTGCTCTTGTTGTGAAAGTTTTCGTAAGAAATTTGGCTATTGAGTGGAGTTTGATATAATCAATCAATGGTAGGTGCATAAGACAGTCACTGTTTTGGTTGGCAGGAGGCAGGAATGAGAGGGTAAATGCTCTGAGTAGCAGTTGAAATCACTAAGCAAGTGCTGAACGTGGCTCATCCTATTCAATTTGGTGCCTGCTCCCCCTCCTCTTTTGTCATTGCACTATTTGGTTATGTCTTGTGATAGAAGCCCACCTCGCACTTTTTTCACATGGAGGATTTCCTGAGAAAGAAAAAGGGGAAGAAAATTTGTCTACCACCACTACTTACTTCAAAGGTGGATGGTGGCAGTCATATCGCAAATATTCAAAGGATATCTTCACCGCACTATCTTATACTTCGTTTTTCTCTAACTTTTTTATTTTTATTTTTAATTCACTAGCCTTAACGCGATTACAGATTAATACGTGTATAACGCGTCGGTAAGTTACTAGAAACTAACTTCAAGAATAAGCAGTATCATTCACTTTTGGAGCTGAGCACCTTGAAGACGAAAATATGTAGATGGTCTTGCTGCTTGTGGAGAAAATATTCTAGGCAATTGTGACACCAATTCGTCAGGGTGTCACAAGTCAATTAGAAAATGACAAATGAATAAAGTGAATCTCACTGATGATTTTGTGTTAGTAATTAGATGCAATAATTACTAATAGTTATAAAAATAGTGAAATTTATTTTGTCCACAGGTAATTTTTTAATTAAATAGTGACACCACATAACAATAATGACGTATCACAGTTATAATGAGAGAGAGAGGAGACAGTGGAGTAAATATGAATGCAACAATAATATCATGTCACTATTAATAATATAGTATCAACAACCAATAATAAAATTCCAAATTAGTAAGATAAACCTCACTTGAACTTACATCAAAGAAAAGTGAAAATAATTTGTTTACTCAACAAATTAGTTATTAATTTTTGTAAAATTCATTTGCTTATTTATTTTAATATAATACTATTGATAAGTGATACCACGTCACATTAAATATTTTCTTGAAGCGGTGACCTCATATCATCACCACTACGTGATGTCACCGTTCAATTAGAAAACTAGAAATAGACCCGCTAGCTTCATAACTATAGTCATCACATAAAACCATCAACACATAAAATTAATGTGGTATACTTTATCCACTTGTAATTTTCTAATTAGATGGTCAAACCCCACCTTTGTTATTCTGGATAAATTTGCCAAAAACTGCCCAACAAATTCTGCACCTAATTTCCCACATCAAATGATGCAGTACGGTGTGCATCATGTTTACAATCCTCGAATAAGTGGGTTTTAGTAATATTTGATAAAAAGTAACATTACTCGGCCATGGAAAAACTTATCAGAACGAACGAACGAACTTACTTGCCCATGTTTCTGGCCTCAACTTCGAAAACCTGGCAATGGTATACATAAAAACCTGACCAATCGATGCACATTTCACACTTAACATGTACAAAATAGCAATATAAAGCAAGAACAAATTTACATAAAACCTTATATAATGTATCATTCGAAAGGCCAAAAAAAAAAAGAGTTGAGGCAAGACCACAAAATACATTGCCTCTCCTTCCCAACAAGGGAAACTCCAATCCTCTTCCCTATCCTTTAAAGGTCATCACAATTGATGACAAGCTCAAAATATTTACTCTTTATGGATAGAGGAATCAAAATATGATCACACAATCCAAGCATGATACAAAAAGACCTGTACTTTATGAGAGAACGGGAATTATTTAAAAAAAAAAAAAGGCAGCAGCAGCAAATTACGATTTCATGGATGCATTGTATTCAACACTTAACTTTTACAGACCTCCTGCTGACAACTGACAAAAATGAAATGTGTATGATGCAAAAGAGTAGGTAAAACCCCAACCTCCAAATGTATATATGGAAACAGAAGTGAATGAGACTCTACAGAATCTGACTATGACAACGAGATGCAGAAGACTATTACCAATGCGAGACAAATTGACCAAAAAAAGGGGGAAAATAAGTTATGGGAAGAAGATGAAATTAAGAATGCGGTGACCTTAGGAGTGAAGTGAAGCTTTGCATTTTGACCTCCGACCCAATTGGAGAAGATGGCACCACTGGGGTGGCATGGGCCATTCATTGCAATATGAGTTAGACTGAGAAAGAACCAATGACCAAGCAGCTTCACTTGTCTATTCACCACATCACATCTACAATTCATTACCAGTTTCCCAATCTTCCAGCACTGACAACATAAATCTTTCATAGTCCAAGAAAAGCCTTTACCAATTCTGAGAAACCATCCCTCCCCACTCCCTTGGTGACAATAGACAATAACCCGACCCCATGGTGCTGATGCAAGAGTTAGTGACAACTTCAAGACCAATTACTTCAGTTGTCAGAAAATGGAGATGACCTGACATGTTGAATGCAATCCTGGACCCCCACTCGACACACTCATATGCATGCAGGGACTTCTAAAAGCAAAAGTGTATACCAAGTGGCCAAAGCCTCAAACAGAAATGGCACGGCTGATAGCCAACTTGGCCCACTCGGCAGATTCTTTAATCAAATGGTCATCTGAGGACAAGCATTCGTTTAAAAAGTCTTTGCTTGAGAGGGATTGCTGAATCAAACCACTTGCATTACTACCCAGTGTATCTGCTAGATCTCCAAGAACCCCAATCGCAGTTTTCATCACCACATCATCCCTGAGAGTAGACGTAATAAAAAAGGTTAGAAATTAAATAATCAAACCAAGCAAACCAGATATATTAAGTGACAAGAATTATTGCAGCAATGACTCACATGTCTTTCTCCATGTAAATGCTATCCAGGAACTGGAGGATGTGCGGTGCATAAGGAATCAACAGCTGAGTTTTAGGAGAGTTTTTAAAACCTTGAAAGATCCCCGAATAAGCCTCCAATATTCCATTTCTTAGGAGATTGGTGTACTCGATCATTTCATCATCCGCACCTGATGTGTGGGCAGACAACTCTGCCGCACTCTGGAGCATAGGCATGGCATACATCAAATACTTCTCAAAATTTTCCCCTATTGCAAGGGATACGTCACCAAAGCATGAAAAAATAGGAGGTTTCACAGATCTGTGCAACTGGTTGCTTGACAAGTCTTTAAGGAGCTGGGTCATAATGCCATCGCAGTAAGGCAGAACCTTATCATCCAACGCCCTGCATATATCACCAACGACACCCACTGTGACAGCACAGACTTGGTATTCCTCAAAATTCTGAAGACCCATTTCCAAGTACTTATAAAACTCTGGCATGTACTTTGCAAAGTCTGAGCCAGCGGCATAGGCAAGGGCTCCAATGGCAAGCATTGCCTCCTCATGCACAGTCGCACTTCTACAAGCAAAAACCCTGAGAAAGAGACTCATGATTTGATCTGCATATTGCATGAAGACGTACTTAGTCGACTCTGATGCCCCTAACTTCTGAATGATGACCTGTAAGCAACCACAAAGAAGCCCTTGCAACTCGTTCTGCTTCTCTCGTTCATCAGATGAAAGCTTCTGTGCTTCAAGAGTTTGGTGAAGCTCCATCATTATAACAGGAACTAACTGCAAAACCATGGGAGATGTTTCATCCGTCGAACACCTCACCACTTCATTCACTGTCTCATATGCAGCAGTCCTCAATCGTGACTCCCCAGCATCCTCTCTGTGAGTAACAGTGAGAAGTGACTGAACGATTTCCTGGAAATAAGGAGTTAGGGGAGATGATATGCCCACATCCTCGTAACCTTGAGCCAGAAAATAAAGAGCACCACAGGCCTTCTCGGCAACATTTGGAGTGTCTTTCATGCTCTGAAGGAGAATGGTGATAATCTGCTGGCAATTTCCCTGAGTAATAATGGGCGTCTCCACAGTTGAACCATGAAGGAATTCGAATATTCTTCCCAGAGTCCAAGCTGTTGTGTCCTTCACGTGGCTATTAGGGTCATTTGTCAATGCAGTGAGCATGAAATTCAGTGCAACATTTACAGTGGGAATTAACTTGTCAGGAGACGGACCCTCCAAGATAGAACCAAAGGCGTAAGTGGCTGCCTCTCTCTGCCTCCAATCAGGCTTTGTTATGTTCTCTTCAATGAAAGGCATAACAAGTGGGACAATCTCGTCTCCCACTGTCCGTGCAACCAAACCAAGGCAAGTTCCCCCAGCCATAGCAAGATTCCAAGCTCCTTCATCCTGATCCTGATCTTCCTCCTGCTTAAGAAGTGTCTCCAACAGCATAGGAACAAGTGCAGGAAGAGCCTGCTTAATAAAATAAAAGCAAGGGACATCAGAGTCTGCGGTAAATTCACCCCCATACTCTTCCAAAATATCTATCTCCTCGTCACAAATTGAGCTCCAGAACTCAACGGCTTGAAGAGCAACAGGCTCTTCATCTTCCTTCACAGCCTTTGCCGTGATGTTAAAAATATCCTGGATGTATGGAGCTAATTTCTCATAATAAGTTGACGAAATGGAGACCAAACACTCAAAAGCTGCCTGTCGAATCTTCAATTCTGGAGATAAAGTTGCCTCACAAACAACTCTCATAATATAGTCACGCTCCATATCATTAGTAAAATTTGCCTGAGCGAAGCCAAGAGCATTATACAATGCTCGCGTAGCAGCAAGTCGCACATCATTGTTCCCTTCAGATGCATTCATACCCTGAACTACAGCTGTAAGTATTTTATTTACTTGATCTTGGTCTATGACATCTGGAGAAACTTCTTCACACAAATACCCAAGAGTTTCTAAAGTAGCTTGCTTAACATGAACAGGAGCCTGGTGAATGTTTGACAAGAGGGATCCTATCAGTTCAGGCCACTGTTTCTGCGGCAGCTCAATGCCTGCAACCTTTGCAACGACTTGTGATGCAGTTGAACGAGCATCAGGCACAGGAGATGAGAGGGTCTGTAGCAAGCATGTCTTGATCTGGGTTTTCAGCGCCACATCTAGTGACAACCATCTTTGAACAAGCTCAAACTTCCTATGTTGTTCCTTCGCATCCAAAGCATTTTTTAGAATCAGACCTGCTAATCTCCGGCTGTCGACAGGTTTCTCATCACTAGCAAGCTCCCCAGAAAGAGACAACAAGAATCCAGCGAGATTTTGCTCCTGAAACTGTTTCAAAGTTTCCTCTGCATGTTTCCGCACGGTTCCATCCACTGCTTGTGCATTCAAAAGCACCTGGGTGACTTCCATCACGCTTGTATATCTGAGAGTATGACGCACTTCATATATTAGAGGTATGAATAATCCAAAAAAGGCACATTGAATACATCTAAAACACAACTAAGTCACAATTCTATCATACAAGAACAAGGGGGGAAAAGGACAAAAAAAAATGCTATAAATTTTAATTAAACTGCAAAATTTAACCAAACAACTCTATTCCACATTCCAACCTGCTACCAATTCGGATGCTGGGAGAGAAATGTGGCAGAAAAAGGGAAGAAAAATTGAAATCTTGCAGTTAATAGCGTTGAAATTCCTGCAAAAACAAAACTCGTCCCAGTAAAGCCGATTAGTAGGACAGAGCTGAATGTCGGGAAGAGAGTTGTGTCAAATTGTCAACCTTTTTCCTTCCATACAACAGCTCAATGACAAAACCAGGCATTAAAAAGATCTAACATTCCTTAAGAAATGATCTAAGGCGAAACAGTTCAGCCAAGTTTCTCTGAATCAATTAGGGACGAAGTGAACAGCATAAATAACAAGCCTTTGAGAAACAGAAAGATCCTAAATACTTCAATAATAGATAAAATTACCCGATTATTCACAGAAAACACCTGAAACAAAAAGATCTACAAAATAAAACACGACAGTAATCCACTTGAGCAGAACATGACGGGGATTACTAAGCGGAATACAAAAATCTTAAATGAAACCAAATTATTACAGATCCGAATAGAAGGCAAAGTTATACCTTAAGTAATCAACCTAGCATCTAACTGTTCCGATGCAGAAAGTGTAAAGCTACAAAGGACTTTAAAAATCCCAGCTGGATCAACACGAATCAAAGATCAATACATACTACATCATTCAGCACCGATAAAAACTGAAATCTATCGACCAAAACCCCTAATTTCACCATATCAAATATCCACATAGCCAGCTAATTAGCACTCAAATAGTTCAGTTCTTTTACAAAAATTAACTGCACAGAGTTACCAATTTAACAACATTAAACAGACTAGACAATTAAAACTATCAAATCTGAAATCTGACACTACAAGTTTCGGTCCCCGAATACATTTACAATTTTCACAAAATAAGCAAAAAAAAGGTAAATATTGAGGATTGAATCCTAAGGCATCAGTAGGAAAAATCAGATCAACGTAGTACAGATCCAACATCAAAATCAGTATATACAAACCCTAACTCCGATGAAAATTGAACAATAAAAAGATGACTATAGTAAAGTAATGATAGAACTACCTGACAATTGCGGCGGTAATGAGTGAAGAGACTACACTCCCGGATCGAGACCAAAAGCGGCGCTCTGAAAGCCCTACGAGACAGAGAGAGAGAGAAAGAAAGAAAGAGAGAGAGACAGAGGGAGAGGGAGAAAGACGACGCGGATGTAAAGCTGGAATTGAATTAATGCTTAGGGTTAATTACAAAATGCTCCTCCAAGTTTGGGTCATGTTATAATCGACTCCCTCATGTTTTAAATTCGACAATTTATCCTCTTCATGTTAGAATATTTTCTAATTAACTCTTCCGTTAGTTTACACCGTTAAAAATGACAGAAATTTGATATAAACATTATCTAAAATCGACAAAAGTATAAAATTGCCAATATCTTAATTTTTTGAAAAATAAAATAAAATTTAGTTTGACCTTAACTTGCACGGGTGAAATCTCAACTCCCTCCCTCTTTTGATGAAACCCAACCCCACCCACCACGCTCGAACAACTAAATTACTCCTCTTTTTTGGTAAAACCCAACTCCCTCCTTCATCTGATTTGTATATATATACACACACAACTAGATTCAATGGTTGCTGTGAAAGTGGGGTTTTGGAGTTTGCTTGTATTGGTATGGGAGAGGCTAGTGAAGGTGGGTTTTGGGGTGCTACCATCATTGGGTATGGGGGGTAGGAGATTGTCGGAGCAAAAGGGGGGTTGGGGCGCAATTGCTGGAGTAGGGGAAAAAGGATTTGGGAGGCATCGTTAGAGCGGGGGTGGGGGTTAAGGGACTACTGGAACAAGAGGTGAAGGGTTGGGGACTGTCATAGTAAGAGGTGGGTGTTAGGTACGCCGTCGAAGTACGAGAAAGGGGTTGGATGCCTCGTTGGAGTTAGGAAAATAGGTTGGATTCATAGAGAAAATAGAAAATAGAATTAGATGTTAGGGTATTTTAGAAATTTTGTATTTTTCATCCACTATCTCAATTAATTTAAATCAAAAAAAATTTTCAGTTGGCAATTTGTTGAATTTAAAACGTGAGGGAGTCGATTGCAACATGATTCAAACTTGGAGGGAACATTTTGTAATTAATCCTAATGCTTAATATCTTTATAATTTTTCCAATAATATTTTACTGGGACTTGTTAGGTGGAGCCCTGACCACGGCAGTTACCGTATGTCGTTGATTGTTTTGAATACAAGTGTATATCTCAAATGCAAATAATCAATAATATTGATTTAAGGGTTTTATTGTATTCACATTGACTAAAAACACATTTACCTCTCATATCTCCTATGCTACTCTTTCGATTCCTTGATTTCAACTGATTAGGCAATTTCTTTGGTCGAACAAAAATACTTATAATGAGTATGTGAAGATTAAAAAAGTCCGTCGACCACCCCCATGACCATATTATAATAGATTCAAACATTTGTATCGGATCGACTTTTAAATCATAATTATTCTCATGAATATTCATTACAACGGTTATACTATGTTATCAAGTTAATATGGTGTAAACGTGTAATGATAAGATAACAAGTTGACAAGTGGATCTCACATGTGTAATTATTACATGATACAAGTGAGTAATCTATAATATAAAACAAAATCGACTTCAATAAGTTTATCCGACAGTTTTAAATAAATTTATCGAACGACCACAAATATTTTTTTAAAAATCATTCACATTACACCGTATATTCAATTACGAATTATTCCTAATTATTTAATTATACGAGCTCTATTTTTCCCTTGGGAGGTTCATTTATTTTTTACACTTTACATTGCGTTTTTTGTGGCAATAAATTCCATGGTTCAATAATGTAGCGAATAGTCTTCAAGCTACCGGCCAAAAATTTTAAAATAAATAAATAGAAAAACAGCAAAAAAGGATAGTCTTCAAAGCTTGATAATAGAGCTAAGCATTTTAGTTCTATTGTTTAGATTAGATCTAAGAGAATAGATTGTTGCAAATGGAGGACAAAGTAGCCAATAAATAATGCAAAAAAATTGATATACCGTTTAGTAATATTTTTTCTTAAATCAAAAAAATGTAAAAAAATAAAATAAAATTATGGCTTGTTAGTAGAACTAGTGACATATATCATGCATCGTTCAAAAAAAAAAAAGAGATATCATGCATGCACAATATCTTTTACAATAAGTGTAAAGTCTGTTCGGTTAGAAAAAAAAATAGTGGAAAGTGAAAATGGTAGAACATGAAGTGAAAGAATGAAAAAAGAAAAGAAAATATACTTTCTTTCATGTATTTGGTTAGCTTGAAATTTTGGGAAAAAAAATTTAAAAAGAAATCCATTCTAATGTTTCAAAGGTAGTAAAGTTGCTAATTTTTTTTGAGAATTGTCTAAAATATCCTTCTCTATATTGAAGGAGATGTTAACCATGAAAGATTGTGCATTTATCCACCTATTATGATAAAATAAATAAAATATTATTAATGTTATAACAATGCATGATTGACACATCACCATTTTTATTTCTTCAAATAGGGATGTTAAAAACTTAAAATTTAGAAAATTAGAAAAAATATATTTTCATGCATTATTTGGTTAGCATGAAAAACTTATAAGTAAATTTAAAAAAAAAAAATCATTCTATTGTTTAAAAGACAAGAAAATTACCCTTAATTATATTAAATTGATTTAAATAAAAAATTTATAATTAAATTATCCTTAATTATATTAAACCAAGTTTAGTTTTATTGAGGGCTTTTTATTTTTTGGTTCCCAAGTTAGTGTTGTTGTTCAATTTGATATCCATATCCATGTATGGGAAAAGATAATAGAAGATTATGAGCAAAAAGGGTCAAGTGTGATCATTAGCTCACATTTCTTGGAAAAAAAAATTCCTTGTTAATTTTGCAGGAAATAAAAAATGTCTTATACAAAAAAGTTTAGTGGGCCTCACGATCTCATTTTCCTGGAATTTATCCCTTTTTCTTGCTAAACAAATAAGAAAAAAGTTTCATTTTTTTCCCTTCCTTGTGTTTTTCGGCATTTATTTGCTAACCAAACAAACTCTTAACGATCAATTTCAACTCGCGAGTGATGTTTTTATTACAACTTCAGAATTTTTATGTGATTGTTGTTGTGTCGAGGGATCTTTCTATAATTTTTTTTTTTTTTTAAAATGAAAAACTATCTATTTCATTCAACATGGAAATAAATAATAACATTCAGAAATTAAAAAAGCTTTAAACTCAGGTGGGGGCAGTTGACCGAACTTAAAAGAAGAAAGTTAGTCATTACAGATGCTGCCACCCAGTGAGATGCTGTGTTCTGAGCTCTAGGTTTGCAAATTGTTGCTGTTTCGGAGTACAAACTTAATATGGTTGGTATATGTTTGGCTATGTCATCCATAACTTTACCGTTAATGTCTCTTACAATTATTCTCACTGCAGCGTTTCAATTACCCATTTGATTTGGAGCTGTTGAAAGTCCGGTCTGAGGATTAATATCAAGGGATATTACCTCTTGCCATAAGGTTTGTGCTCTAAGGATTGTGGCAAAGGCATTTGAGTCTTCGTGATTAAACACTTTCTGATACCGGGCCTTCCAGATTTTCCACCCTGTTGTTGCAATTTTGCCCAAGACTTCCAGTAAACGGGATAGGTTGTTAAAAGACTCCAGCAATGATGATGACCACTGAGAGACTGAAATTGGTAGCTCTCACGCCAGTCTAAAATCTAAATCCAATATCAGAACCAATCCATACCCTCTTGGTCCATTCGCATCCCAGCAATAGATGTTTAGTTGATTCAAGTTCCTTCATGTAGAGCAGGTAGTTTGGAGATGTCTAGAAGAGATTTTCTCTCGTAGCTAAGGCATTATTGCAGGCTTTCTACAATAAAATGTTTTAACCTTTGGGAGTGCCTTCATATGCCAAATCACGTGCCATAGCTTTGGGTGGTGAGTATAGGAAGAACTGGTTTCTAATTGGGGGGATTGTCTTTGGTTAATTTCCATCGAATTTCCTAATCTAATGGTATACACTCCTTTGGGTTTTGGCTGCCATATCCTTCTATCTTTTCTCGTTACCTTTTGGGAGAGGGATAGATTGGATTGTTCTTCTTTCCTATTCATTAAACAGATTTCTTGTCAAACCAGAGTTCCATTCCTTAGTTGTCTGGTTGATGATCTAACTCACCAAGGTTATGTCACATTCTTGAGGTTTTGTACAGGTAATTGATGCACCATCAAGGTGGGAAACCCACTTATCTTACCAGATTTTTACTTTATTCCCCTCCCAAACTTTCCAAGTGAGTCCTTTTTCCAACAACTCTCTCCCCCACAAAAGACTTCTCTAAACCCAAGATGGTCTGGCCCTTTTTTTTGGCTACCATGAAATCAGAAGCTAGGAAATATATGGGCGTTAGTAGACTTACCCAAAAAGAATTAGGATTTTGAATTATCCTCCAACACTATTTGGCCAAGAGGCTTTGGTTAAATAGGTGAAAATCTTTAAAACCCATCCCTCCTCTTGCCTTTACTTCCCCCATTTTTCCCAGCTTATACCCCTCTCTTTACCCTCTCCACTCCACCAGAAAATCCTAACATATTTCTCCAATTTGTCACAAAAAATTCTTAGGGAATGCTAACACCGACATTGCGCAATTTGATATTGTCCAGACAATTGTCTTAATCAAAACCTCCTTGCCTGCCTGCGTCAAAAATAGGCTTTTTCATCCCTGTATTTTCTTAAGGTTCCTTTCAAGTAGATAGTCAAATACCTCATTCTTAGATCCCCCCACCTCACATAATAAGAAGACCAAGATATATTGCATTTAGGTGAAATTGTTTGCATATCTATCATTTGACTTAAAAGACATTTTTTCCTCCTCTGAAGTATTAGCAGAGAAAATAATACCTAATTTCTGGCAGTTCATAATCTGTCATGAAAATCTGTAGTGACCTACAAAATATTTATAATATTGGCAACTCCTTGTTCTGTTGCTTTGATGAAGAAAAGAGAGTCATATGCGGAGAAGATGTGAGACATAGTAAGACTTCTCCTACGAATCTTTATTCCCATGAATTTCATTTCTTCTTTGCAACATCCCTGAGAGTAAATCAATGGTGATATTGGATCGCCTTGTTAGATTCCCTTTTGTGGCTGAGCTATACGTTTTTTTTCTATAATTTGTTGAATGGAAAGATATTTGTTATTTTGAAAAACTTAAGGATTTGGTATCATTTTTAAAATGAAACAATCCTATTGGGATCTAAAAATTTGATCTAATTTGTTGACTTAATTTATTGTGACATTTGGATTGACTATAGACCCTATCAAACATTAAAACTTAATGTTGATCTAATGATTCTTATTAAGCCACGTCATTATGTTATGTTAGCAAATTAAGTCAAATTTTTATTCTTTTAACATATGATGCGTGTTTCATATTAAGTAGCATCGTTGATTCTTTCTTTCACCAAGCAAACAACATTAAATAACTCTCTCTTTTTTTTTTTTTTTTTGCAAAATAACATTAATTTTTTTTTGGTTTCATTAATGCGAGTTGAGTATCTATACAGGTTCTAATTCTAAGAAAAAAACATAGATTACTAGGGAGATTTTATGATATATAATTCTAGTCCTAGAAGAAGACAAACCGACGGTCGAAACAGTCCCACAACATGGTCGAAAGTGATTGGCCGATATAACCAGCCTCAAAATCTGATTGGTCCACGTCATCACCGATGACACCCGCCATTCAAACATTAACCTCCACATGTCTCCAAAGCTGATTGGTCCACGTCATCACCGATGACGCGAGTTGTCATTCAAACACTAAACTCCGCCAGTCTCAAAAGCTGATTGGTCCACGTCATCACTAATGACACGTTATTGCGGTTCATTCGACCACGACCCTCCACATATGAGCTACTATATAAACCTGTGGCTTCATTCTCTTCATCTAAATCAAACCTTGTGGGGGACATTGTTGAGAAGCGAAAGAGAGAGAAACGTAAGAGTTAAGAGTTCGGAGCTTTCTTTACGGGATGGCTGGTGCTTGGAGGAGACGCGTGTCGTTGATCCTTTTCGGAATCGTCTTGTTCGGTATGTCAATGTTGTATTTTCTTCTTTTAACCTTTTGGATTTGGATTCCTTCGATTTCAATACTCGTTTTGACTGCTGTGTGCGATTGTAATGGCTCAGATCGTTTTTGTATGAGCGTTTGAAGCGCATTGATGTGATGGCATTAGAGTGCGCTTCGCTGATTAGGACCAAATTTTGGTTTGAAATAGGTCATTATTCGTGCGATTGCGTTATATGTTGCGAATGATTAATTATCTGAAAAATGTTGTGGGATGAATGTCATTTGTCATTTTTGGAGCGTAAGGAGTGGCTTAATGTTGATATAGATTTCCTTGTTTAAAAATCTGCAATATATGTTTGTACAGTTGGATAAATCAAATACATAATGTTGATATAGATTTCATTGTTTACAAATCTGCAATATATGTTTGTACAGTTGGATAAATCAAATACATAATGCATAGAGAACGAGTGAAATTTCAAGAGCTTTCATGTGTTGTTCATTGTGCTTGGTTAAATCATGGAGAATGACCTAGTTCTTTAACAGGATGCTTGCTTACATTTTCTATTGCGAAAGAGGAAGCCACCAAATTGGGAACCGTTATTGGGATAGACCTAGGCACAACTTACTCATGTGTTGGTGTCTACAAGAATGGACATGTTGAAATCATAGCGAATGACCAAGGTAATCGCATTACCCCTTCATGGGTGGCTTTCACTGACAGTGAGAGATTGATCGGTGAGGCAGGGAAGAATCTGGCGGCGGTTAATGCCGAGAGGACCATCTTCGATGTCAAAAGACTTATTGGGAGAAGGTAATGTTTAGTTACTTTTCATTTCCATTTTTGTTATATATGTGGGGTAAAGATACCTAGCAATTATCAGGCCTCTGACATTGCTTCTTAATAGATTTGATGACAAGGAGGTTCAAAAGGACATGAAGCTTGTTCCATACAAGATTGTGAATAAGGATGGGAAGCCTTATATAGAAGTCAAGATCAAAGATGGGGAGACCAAGGTCTTCAGTCCTGAGGAGATTAGCGCCATGATTCTGACGAAGATGAAGGAGACAGCTGAAGCATACCTTGGAAAGAAAATCAAGGATGCTGTGGTGACTGTTCCTGGTAAAGTTATACTATTTAGTTACACTTATGTTGAAGTGAGAATGTTATATCACTCTAGAGATTGATTTGTTTCCTCTTGTGTGAACTCTACAGCTTACTTTAATGATGCCCAGAGGCAGGCTACCAAAGATGCTGGTGTAATCGCTGGATTGAATGTTGTAAGAATTATTAATGAACCAACCGCAGCAGCCATTGCCTACGGTTTGGACAAGAAGGGTGGGGAAAAGAACATCCTAGTCTTTGATCTTGGTGGTGGGACATTCGATGTCAGCATCTTGACTATTGACAATGGTGTCTTCGAGGTTCTTGCCACAAATGGAGACACTCATCTGGGAGGTAAGGAACCAAATTGCTACCATTGTGGCCATTTCACTCTTTTTAGTTGCAAAACTACACAATATTTGAGCCATTTTGGAGTTTGGCTAAAAATATAATGGTGTTTACTCATCTAGCAGTGTAACTCGAGGATATATGGTCTTCACTAAATAACAAAACTTATCATTTGCGATCTAATTGTTACCATGCATACGATTTTGCATGGCTTGAGTTAAAATTGTGGTAGGGTTGCGACTAGAAGTGTTTAAGCACATAGTAAGCTGGTTTATTTACTCAACAGGTGAGGATTTCGATCAGAGAATCATGGAATACTTCATTAAATTAATCAAGAAGAAACATGGAAAGGACATTAGCAAGGACAACAGAGCTCTTGGGAAGCTGAGGAGAGAAAGTGAACGTGCCAAAAGAGCTTTGAGCAGTCAGCATCAAGTCCGTGTAGAGATTGAATCTCTCTTTGATGGTGTAGATTTCTCTGAACCACTTACCAGGGCTCGTTTCGAGGAGTTGAACAATGATCTATTCAGAAAGACCATGGGGCCTGTTAAGAAGGCCATGGAGGATGCTGGATTGGAGAAGCGCCAGATTGATGAGATTGTCCTTGTTGGTGGAAGCACCAGGATTCCCAAGGTTCAACAGCTCCTAAAGGAATTTTTTGACGGGAAGGAGCCTAACAAGGGTGTGAACCCAGATGAGGCAGTTGCTTATGGTGCTGCTGTACAAGGAGGCATATTGAGTGGCGAAGGTGGTGATGAAACCAAAGGTATTATATATCTTTCTAAGTAGCTATTTTGTGTGAGTTATCATTATTAGATTAAGTTACCAACCATGTCAGAGTAAAGCTAAAATATTGATATACTGACTACTGCATCTTCTTTTATTTCCATCAGATATCCTTCTTTTGGATGTCGCCCCACTCAGTCTTGGTATTGAAACAGTTGGTGGTGTGATGACCAAGCTGATCCCTAGAAACACCGTCATCCCAACCAAAAAATCTCAAGTTTTCAGCACTTACCAAGACCAACAGACAACTGTTACTATTCAGGTACTGCATCTTTTTGAATGACAGGCTTCCCTACTTCACCTGGTGGAAGTATAAGACACACCTGGATTTACAGTATGATCAGAGCTCCAGTCGGCTTTTTAATGGAATTAGCTGACACCATCTGTTCTGGCTAACCTACAGGTCTTTGAAGGTGAACGGAGTCTCACAAAGGACTGCAGGCTGCTTGGGAAGTTCGACTTGACTGGAATAGCTCCAGCTCCAAGGTTCTTATTTGCTTGTGTACAATCTAGAGCTTTTTATTCTGGGTTCCTTTTCCATATCTTACAGAAACTTGTTTGTTTGCTCAAACAGAGGAACTCCTCAGATTGAAGTAACATTTGAGGTTGATGCCAATGGTATTCTAAATGTTAAGGCCGAAGACAAGGCCGCAGGAAAATATGAGAAGATCACAATCACCAATGACAAGGGTCGACTGAGTCAGGAGGAGATTGACCGAATGGTCCAAGAAGCTGAGGAGTTTGCCGAGGAAGACAAGAAAGTCAAAGAGAAAATTGATTCCCGAAACAGCTTGGAGACTTACGTCTACAACATGAAGGCTCAGGTCAACGACAAGGATAAGCTCGCTGATAAACTAGAGTCCGATGAGAAGGAGAAGATTGAGACAGCATTAAAAGAGGCCCTCGAATGGTTGGATGACAATCAGACTGCTGAGAAAGAGGATTATGAGGAGAAGCTGAAGGAAGTTGAGTCTGTGTGCAACCCAATTATTACCTCTGTTTATCATAGGTCCGGAGGAGGAGCCCCTGGAGGTGGATCAGGAGAGGAAGATGATGATTCCAATGATGAGCTGTAGAGAGATAACAAGATTATTGTTTGTGCAAAGAGATTTAGCGATAGGATAAACTACTGATGGTTACTTTACAAATTTTTTGTAGTAGGGTTAGCAAGTAGAAGACAGGAGGAAACAAACACCAATTGGGAGATCGCCACTCCCTGGTGCTAGCCTGGTAGGTTTTCCTTCCCTCTTTGCCATTTTTGAAAAATATGTATAGAGATATTCATCAAATTTCATAATGAAAACTTGCATACATTTTCCCGGTTCCAAAAATGAATTGGACAGTTGAGTTTGAGATACCTTTTGGTTAAAGGCAAGGGCAGGGAGTGTCATGATTCCTGCGACAAAGCTGTACTGTAACACTCTAGGTCTTGATTCCGAGATGGAGCAACGTACGTATGACAAGAGACTGCTGTCAAGCATGGCTGGGCAAGCAGTCCACAGACCCGGTCCATTTCACATGGCTCTATCGAGGAGGTTGGTCAACTTCGTAATCAAGTCCAAATTGTTGCCCCAACTATTAGACCACATATGAGACAAGGCATGCATCAAGAAATACAATATAGATATTTTCAGAACAGTACAAAACAACAGTTGCATTGTAACAATTATTATACCATTAAGAATAGCCCCAATTCTGAACTAAAATTTTTGCACAATACACATTCAGAATAATTAGAGGAGCAAAACAGAAATGACACTCTAAGGGTCACTTTCGTATATCAAATGTATTCTATTTCACCATCTGAATTCAACCATCAAGTGCGGATAAAAACGATTACCCATCTAAATATATGATAAGTTGGGGGAAAGCTAGAGTGTAATTTGTCATGTACATCCAGCAGATATCATCAAAGATTACATTAGTTGGGAGAGCAACTCAAATATTAATCATTGGTCAGACTGGCCGCCACATGTTGCATCCAAGGCCAGTTCAGCTCACAAAGATCACTAGGAGAGTTGCCGTCATTGTCCTTTATATCTGCGTCAGCATTTTGCTTCACAAGGAACTCAGCAATAGCTTCTCTCTCACAAACAGTAGCATAATGCAATGGTGTTTGGCCTTCATTGTCCTTCAAATAACAATAATCCAAGAAATGTGAAAAACAATCAAATTGAGCTCCATCGCAGAAAACAATAAGAAGAAAATCAAACACTCGCAGAATGATATACCATATAGAAAAACTACGTTCAATGAAAAACATTTCAGTACGTTTCCTATAGCCAAATTTACATAAAGTTTTTGCAGTTGCTGCCGAGTCTAAATGCTGACTCTATTTAAACAGTTTGCTCATTAGAAGGTACTAAAAGATACTAAATGTTGCCATTTATGCCTCTCCAAGAGTTAGAGATGGCATTTATGCGTCCCATATAGGGGATATCCAACAGTAAAGAAAAGGCCTGATCCTACTCTTCCCCTTTTCTTTTGAAAGGAAGGAGTGTTACATGAATGAACAATCTATCTCACACACACACACTCATGCACAGAGAGGGAGGGGATTTTATGTGATGAATGGCAAGGCACTAACCAAATTTACTTGGTTCAAAACCATCTCCGTCCACATTCAACAACATAAAGGTGCAACATAAAAACTAGCAACACAATCAATTAGTATCTGACAGAGATCACCATAATAACATTTAGATTACCTTTGCATTCACATCAGCACTCTGGCTTACAAGCAATTCTGTGATGTTAAGATGACCGCGATCTACAGCCCAATGCAATGGTGTCCTACCCTCACTATCTGCAATCATTTCACAAGAACTCTCTAAGAGGATGCGGGATTATGTTGAGTGCATCAAAATGCTAAGAAAAGTTCTCACTTAACATCTTTACAAAAAAGAATGGGGAATATTGACGCTAAGGATAAATAACATGCCAAGCCAAGCTGGGAAATAACATGCAATTAAGCTTGGCCTCTTATTATCAGGACATATCTTAACCAATGCAAATCAGTTATTAGAACACACTCCTGAGACATAATTAATTCTCGTCGCAACTCACTGACTGCACGTGTAAAATCCTATCATTTTTCCCGAAGAGTTTTTTAGTATTCCAATACACGGTGTGATCTCAATTATTTACAATCCTAATTGCGACGAGCCTGGTGCTGCTCAAACTTTGCTGATTACAAATATAACCTGTAACTTGAGTTTCACCTTCACTCAATCAAATACTCAATGGGCCTAGCCAAAAAATGTAAGTATGATTTACCCTATCAAGTATCAAAATCAGACTCTAGAATTTACCTATAAAATCTAAACAGAGATATCAATTGAACACAAAAAGTACCGAATAAGACAACAAACAAGTAACAAACCTTTTTGATCCACTGAAACACCGCTTTCCACACATTTAAGCAGATTCTCCAGATCTCCTTCCCTTGCAAAGGCATGTATGGCATCCAATTTTCTGAAAGGGAAAGACACATTAAGAACTGCATGACCAACTAAAAAAGTAGCAGCCAACCCACATGAAAATTCCCCCTCAGGAATTGTGTCCCTTTATAGGGGGAAAAGCTTGAAAAGGAAATGATTCACATATTGATGTGCTCGGGTTCGAAAATCCAGCATTCCATAAATATGTTACAATGACTTTAGTAACAAAATACAACAAGTCATAAACTCAGCACTTTTCCAAATATAAAGCCAAAAGTCAGTCACTGTCCCCATACTCTAGTAGGAAAGAGCATCAGGATTATTTATGTCATGATAACCATGCAATTCCACCTCATTATGCGATTGATAACTGGTTCTTACCCAGTGACACTAGCAAGTGAGAATTAAAGACAAACATTAATCACAAAATTGTGCGGGAAATCGTCAGAATTGCACTTTAGTATTGGTTTTCTTTTTTTTTTTGAAAAGGTCTCCATCCATAATTCCAGAGGCAACGGGCTCTAGTTAACTCAAGCAGTGCTGAATCAACGCATGTACATGCACAGATGGTCTACGAGACACTAGTATGCATATTTTATCTTATATTTTTTAAACAGAAAATTCCGTATAATGGCCTAAAGTTGCTGTTAGCCCAAGATACCAGTCAATTGATATCTAGGTACCTTTATGCAAACAAGTGAAGGTCCCAAACACATAAAACAAACCAACAACACAATAGAACTCAGGCATGTCAAAGTTCTAAGAACCTTACAAATCATTTCCAGATTCCTCCTCATAAACAAAGGTGCTGAATACAGGTCCCATAGGTCCTTTAGTATCTGCACTTGCTACATCACTACTACCTTCACCTTTTCTCTTCTGTTATCGGCATGTAGAAGACAAGGAACAAGAAAAAAAAAAGGTTAAGCAGATGTACAGAAGTAGCACAGAAATAGAATGATAATAAAACAAAAGATTCCGATCTTACAGTAGTTGAACCAACAGCCCAAGAAGGATATAACTCCGTCACAATTGCAATATACCTCTGCATTGCTTCTTCCGGGGGAATAGCACCCAATCTCTGCCATGCTTGCCTAGCACAATCGTAATCTTTCTAATAGTCAGCAATTAAATATTTAACTGATATATAGTTTTATCAGAAAGAAATACGAAAGTTATAAATCCCTGGGATTCACTTCAACTTTTTCTACACCACATTACTCTCTGATGAATGTTGCTGCATTGACTAGGTTATTTCTCGAACACCATTTAGCACATTCCACAGCCGACAATTTAGCAAGTGAAGGATAATATCTAGGAACAATCAGTTACCAATTTAACCAAAATACAAGAAAATGTTCTAGTTTAGCTGCAAAATTACTTTCTCTAACCACATCCAAACCTTCTGTCCTCAAATCTTATCATTGTCTCGTACACACCACAACAATTAAGCTCCTCTCTTCAAGTTTATCACCATCAAAGCCAGGCATCGAGTTTACTAAGACATAATCATATTTCAAAATAAATTAATACAACAAAGAATCAGAATCGCAGGACATTACCACTTGGCGCGTGCGGTCATTTTGAGGGCCGAGGGCTGAGGTGTAGTACACGGACCCTCGGTGGCAATCTTATAAAATCCATAAAGCTGTAATTGCACATCTTGAGACACTTTCTGCGATGCCCGATCAGCGGCGGTGGCGGCCACAAACGCCGTAGCAGCACTGAATGCCTCATCAAGTTCAGTACTCTCAACCCCTTCCCAATCATCGTCACTATCATCATAATCATCGCCAGCACCAATCACCGAACTCTGATCGCCTCTTCCACCAACCAATGGCACAGTCTCTTCAAAAACCCTAGAGGTATCCGCTTGATTTCGAATATCCGAATCTTCGAGAACGGGTTTGACCTCGCTTTTTGAGCCCTTTGGTTCGGTTTGGAACGAATCGCTGCGAACAATGCGGAGATTTTCTTCTCGGAATGCGAAAATTACAGAGAAGAGCTTAGCGAGAAGGAAAGAAAATATGAAGCCTAAGAATATTGATTGAAGATATTGTTGCCACTCAGCCATGGCGATGAATCAAAAATTAATAAATATTGCTTCCGAGAGAGATATAAACCCTAACCGAAGGATCGTTGGAAGTGTGTGTGTGAGAGAGAGAGATGGCGCCAGAGGAACAGAGCGCGCCCTGAGACTAATACCCGCGGCGATAGGACTGCTGCTAGTAGTTATCTTGGTCGTTGGGGTGAAGTGCGCACTATGCCTTTATAAATAATAGGGAGATCACAGACCTTTTTTGTAAAGGGTGAATTACACTTTATAACCTGCAAAAATTTAAATTATTTATTAATTATTTTTAAAGATTAAATTTTATATATTATATGCTCAACGTATCAAAATATCGTAATATGACATTTCTATTAGTTTTCTGTTACTTTTTTCGTTAACGTCAATGGATTAACTTTTGATAAAAAAAAAAATAACATAAGTTAACAGAATGGACAAATTGTAATATTTTTAATATTTTAAATGTATAATATAAAAAATTTAATTTTTTAGGATATAAAGTGAGAAATTTAAAATCTTTCATGAATTTTATTTTATGGTTAATTTTAAATATTTTAGAATATTTTTTGATAAAATATTTGATCTAATTGAAAATAATTAAGGTTTAGGGGCTTGAAATTATTTCCTTGTAAGTTAAATCTTGATTTTGGCTCGAGTTTTATCCAAATGCGAAATTTTGTGAATAATGCAGAGTCAAATTTATGGACTCTCGTATAGAAAGATGTCAAATAGACTAAATAATGCATGATTGAAATGGTTCTCAAATATTTTTTTAAAAAATAAAATATCTTATTATAAGCTTGAAAGGGTTTTCTTAGTTTTTAAATGATTAGATGGAGCACACTTCTAATTTAATATAACTTTTCGATCTACCAAAAAAAAAAAAGAATTTCTTATTCAATATCTATGTTAGATTAGATCTTCAAATTAGGTTTCAATAGCATTTTCCTCCAAAGCTAGATGAAGCTCATAATGCAATGCAAGAGGTTGAAAATTGAGTTATTTTTGACGATGAAAACAGTTTTTTTCTTATGTGCAATTTATGAAAATATGATATTTAACGGTTGATAATGTTAGAAGACGATTGTGAGGATCAGATGGTCAAATACCTACGATCGGTATAGCTTTCAAAGCTCAGACGGAGAGAACAAACAAGCTTCTCGAGAGCTACTTTAAATCACTTTAGTGCAACTCAAAAGGACTGGAGCTCTTGTATGTTACTCGGTGCTGCTATAATTTAACATGCAAAAAGCTCTGCGTCGAGCTTTTGGCCCCTTCGAGTTGGCAACAGTGCAACAGCCTCTGACGCCCACTTTTAATCCAATGGCTACATTCAATTAAGTCCAAATACTCTTCAATCTCCTCTATTCTTTAAGAAAGTATATATTGATGAACTTTTCAAGATTTTTGGAGGAGACATAACTGTTCATGAGATTGCTTCATCAAGGAAACAAGCATACTAGTAGTACCTATGGTTACAATCTCTCTCTCTCTCTCTCTCTCTCTGTGTATATAGGTAAACATATATGATAGCTTCATTACAGATCCTGCCTAAGCAATTAATGTTGTCTCTTATTCTAATGTCAAACATAGGTAACAAAACCTTATAATTATAAAAGCAACAGAAATCTTCTTTTCTGGGGACTTCATAATTCCAGTATCTCCAAGTCAATAGTTGCACTTTCCATAGCCTGAAAATCAAGATCTTGAGTCTTAGACAAGCAACTATACAGATGATATGCAGAGAGTTTTAGGAGTTTAGACACCATTCAATTGTACAGTATCCACATACTTGGATCAACATTGGTGATGGCTCCAGTTTGATCAAAATCGCAATCATAGCCATTCCTTCCAGTGGCTTGGTAGTATGCATTCATGGCATATGCAGCATGGGCTCGAACCGTGTTCGGAACAAAGCATTCCCCACCTTCTTGAATGGGTCTGCAGTCCACACCAAAGCCACACACATAATCAATATTCTTCTGCAATGCATCTTCATCAGCCCCTGGTTTGGGAAGACACCAGTCTTTCCCTTTTGATGCAGGCAATGGACTCACCGGTGCAACTACTGGGGTTGGGTACGAAGGAAAGTTTGCTTTAGCCTGCCAGAGCCAAGTTCATAAAAACAATCAAGCCAATATATATGAGTACTAATAAACATGTTTTAGGGTGCTTATTGGCTGCGGCAGCTACCGTTCGCCTTAAGATCCCAACGTTGTAGACAGGTGTCATGTCGGGCTGGAACAACCCAAAGTTTCGTTCACATGTTGGCCCGGGCTTTGAATCTTCATTGAACAGTGCAAAAATGTATGTTTCAAATGTCTTGTTAGGCATGAGGGGTGTCCCAACCCCAGATGTCACATGTTGCATCAAATTTCTGTTGTATTCTGCTGCACTTTCAGGATCAACACCAGCTTGCCCTGGATCACCTTTAGATGGCCACCCAGTTTCGGCTATGACGATCTCAACGTCTGTAAAATCGAGAAGTTTCAATGCCGAGAAGACTGCGTCCAACTGTCCATCTAGCATATTGGTGTAAGTTCGTTTAGTCATTTCGTCGAACACTCCTGCATTAGGCCTAAACAGTGCATAATCTAGAGTGTCATCCGAGTAGCCAAAAAATGGGTAAGGGTTTATCATGAAAGGTGAACCGGTGGCTCTTAGGAAGCTAAGTAATGGCTTGAGCACATGAGTGTCGTAGCCGTCTCGAAACTTCCCAGTGGATGGTGGGCTTGAGGATGATAGTATGCCTAGAGAATGTGGCGTGGAGACTTTGATATCACGGTCAAGAGACTCTCGGACAAGGACTGTGTGAAGGGTCCGCATTGATTTTACGAGGTTTCCTATTAATAATTTATTGGCTGTTGAAAGTACTTCGTTGCCGATTAGAATTCGGACAATGTGGGTGGCAGGAATGTGAGGTACAATGTTGGTTTTCAGCCATTGTTGTGAAAAACTGATCTTTGTAAGCTGTGGGATTAGTTCATTGGGGACAGTGACAGTAATGGCGATTCCAGTATGAGCAAATGCTTTAAGGATTTCAGGGTTGGCATCGAATAGCCTCACACGGTTGATAATGGTGGATTGTAAGAGGAAGTGAGCCACTTGTGCCGGTGGAGGAAGGTTGTTTGCTACCGTGCCATAGTTGACACCAATTGTCTCCTCCACTCCTACGTTTTCCGCAGCTAATATGCAAGAAAAGTGGGAACCAAATGAATCAAACAATTCATAAATAACTTGTGTTCAAATACACGAGCCGAGCTAGAACATAAAATCATTCGAGTTCTTAAACTCATGAACACATCATATAATATGTGTTCATGAATCTGTGTCATTTAAGCAAAGTTCATAAATAGCTCGTTCAAATAAACAAGCCGAGCTTGAGCAAAACTTTGTTTGACTCTTGTTAAACTCGTGAACATAATATATAAACAAAAGAGATGGAGGCATACCTTGGGTGGACATGAAGAGAAGTACTACATATGTGACTGCATGAGCAAGCATGGCGGTGGTAGTTTTCTCCATGACTTTTGTTGGGGGTGAAGGTGGAAAACGGTAACTGCAGGTTTGCCATGGCTTATTGTTGAAGAAGAGTACTTGTGGGGAGATGCCTTTCTTGGTGGTTGGGTATTTCTTAGTGCAAAGTTGTGGAGTGTGTTTTGAGCAAGGTTTATTACATGGGGGAATCTCTACAACTTTTTCTTTGTTATCTTCACTTTTTGTCTGTCGTCCTTGGGAAGAATAATCAATCTAAGTTACAATTAGTTGATCAGCGTTGGCCAATTAGTGTTGAACAAAAAAGGGCATACATAGTCTTATCTCGTGCGTAGAGAAACTTTTTTTGTGACTGGAATTTATAACATACATCTTTGCTCATGATGCGTCCATGAAATTTATTTTGGATTATGTCGTCCCTTGTGAAAAGAAGGAACTGAGTTGGAGGAAAGTAAAGCACAAGCCACAAGATCAACTAGTTTTAACCATTCTTCATGCTGCCATGTATAAGTTACACATCAATTTTTTTCACAATTTACTTTTTTTTTAGTTAAACGATCAGGAGTGTTTGAATTAGCTTACGTTCACCTTAACTAATATCTTTTCCGGTTCGGTCAAAACTAAACCATCAATGCCAAGATTAGTGTGGGTATTCATAAAAGATAAAAAAACTCCAATGATTTTTTTTTTTCACAATTTACACCGGTTGAGATTTTTTCACTTTGACTAGCTATCCATTCCAGTTTTGTGATGCAAGATTGTTACGAGCACTTGATTAAAAGCATGTCAACGACTTGTTGTCGATCTATTTTTATTAGGATACTTCGAGCGATTCTGGGACCTCTTAGTGGTTTATTCGAAGGAACCAAGCCTCTTTATTACCAACTCATTTGATAGAAATATAATTCTTTGATGTTTTATTCATAATCAAAGGGCTCTTTAAATAGAGCTTACAACTTAAATTCTATTGATATTGATATCCCTAAACTTAAGGTAAAGATTGGATATGTTTGATCCCAAAAAAAAAAAAAAAAAAAAAAACTTAAGCTAAAGAAATCCTACTAGAAATAAAAAAAATCCTACAAAGTTGCATCCGGATATACATGTCAATCTTAGTCAAGGGCATTCCAAAACGAAGAAGGCTCACTGCCTTGGAAACAGCCAAACGAAAGTGTACCTGTCAATCTTAGTCATGGTTACACTTCCATCAAGTTTTCTTCAGTGGTGAAGGACAAAATCGACGACAATTATTGGCTGGCTTTACCTTTAGCACTGTCCTTATTCAACTTGGGAAAATTTTACGGAATCGGTATTGTACCGTTATCTATATTTTTTATGAATAAAATTTTAATTTAAAACAAAAAAAATTATAACGACTCAAGGAAAAATTATAATCGATTATAAATATTTATTATCAATCGTGAAAATTTTGGTATCGACCTCAACTTTTCTTAATTAATTACACGCTTTAAAGTTATAACTTACGCATCAAAAAATTTGTAAAATAACTTTAAAAAATTATAATTTTTTGTACTGTGCCATAGCCTTTTCCGTCAACTTATCATGTTTGTGTTTCCATTCTCTGATGTCATACCAACATCTTCACGGGGAAGACTACGAAATTTTGGTATCGTACCTTTCAATTTTATAATTTTAATAAATATTTTTATAATTTTTGTAGGTTATTTTACAACAAACTTTTTTTTATAACTTTTGTGGGTAATTTATAATTTTTGTAGGTGTTTTTATCATTTTTGTGATGACTATTTTTATTATCTCGGTAAGAGTGTAAATTGATAAAATCGCGTCAGATTCACGTCGTTTAAATCGTATTATCAAAATTTATTTAATCCATTATCGGCTCATTTTTAATAATTTTTAATCATGATTGTATTGTGTATAAATTATATTTAATGAATCCACTCGTTTACCAACAAACCCACTAAGACTATGTACACAGCCACTAATTATTGTAGGTTTTGTATTGAGATTGCAGTTCTTATCTAAACTTGTCATGCTTATCGGACAATAAAACAAATATTATTTGAGAGATATTTTTATAAAGCTATGATTCAGTGAAGCAAAGTTACAATTCCAAACATGTCAAATTAGGACTCAATAAGGCCAAGTTAGGATTGATTCAAAACACTTAAAATGGATCACAACTTGATAGGAAGGAACCCACCCAGATTTTTTAGGATCGATCCTAATTTTTCGGATCTTATTGAATCATAATTTGGATCAAATCGACGAATAACTTGGTATTATTGGGTGCATTGATACACTCTCTAGTCTTTTGGTCTCCTTTTTCAACCAGTTGATAGCCAGTGCGCTCTCTCTCTCTCTCTCCCTCCATGGCATCAGTGTTTGATCAAATGGTGGGTCTCATCCTATTCTGCAAAATACCATTTCTACTTTGAATTATGAAAAGTTAGTAGAATAACACAATAAGCCCGTTTCATGCATGTACTGAAGAAAAGGAAAAGATATAAGTAAGGTACAAATCAGAAAGAACAGTCTAAATGATCCCTTCCTCAGTTATAACGTTGTACAGTGTCACAGGTTGACTAAAAGATGGGATTATAAATCCCTTTTTTTTTTGAATTTTTAATGCTCTTTAATGATGATTATTTAAAAGGGTTGGTGAACTGTAAATTGATAATCAGGATCTTTAAGATCTCGATCTCTTTGGATATTGATCTTTTTCTAACTTGTGCTAAACATATATTGAACCAAACCTAAGATAACACAAGTGATAACATGGACGAACTGTAAATCTAGACGTTTTGACTCTGACAATCTCTTAGGGTTATACCATGAAAGATTTATCTTCCATGAATACCCTAATCCCGACGTGGATGCTAATAACAACAAAGTGACATGTTTGGTCATCTGGGTAGTTGGACCAGTGAAAGAACTTATCTGATATAAAACATGTTTGGTCATCTGGGTAGTTGGACAAGTGAAAGAACTTATCTGATATAAGTTGAAGATTGAGCAAACTTCTCAGCAAGCATGTAAATGATAAGGACCATAGTCCAATAACCCCTCCAGTTATAACATTGCATGCCCAAGTGAGCATCCCAGAAACAGCAGCACCAGCTAGCACTATAGAGAGAGAGAGAGAGAGAGAGAGAGAAAAGTTTTATGTACAAGGTTAATGAAAATGTTTATCTAGTAGACAAATTTTCTGGAAGGTCGATGAAAAAACCTTCAGAAGGTTAATGAAAAGATTTGTCTAATCGGCAAACCTTCCGGAAGGTCGATGAAAAACCTTCCGGAAGGTTTTTAAAAAATCTGAAATTTTAAGTCGCGAACAGCCAGCTTTCCTTCCACTATAACTACCTAAGGACGTCCCATTTAGCCACATTTCAACATCTTTAACCCTAGAAAACGTTAAAGAGGAAGAAAGGAAGAGAAAAACACAAGATCAAAGGGGATTTCCACTTCAAGAAGATCAAAACCCTAGTTTTTCAAGAACATGGGGTTTCTTCCTATTCTCTTACATTGAGGCTAGGGCTTATTTATATGTATTCTTTTGACTTTAAATCTTTATATATGCTATGAAATCTTTATTTCTTGGTATCCTTGCAAAGACCACCATGTTTTAAGCAAAGTAATGGTTGAATAACATTAAATCTCTTTTCTTGGCATAAAATCCTAGTTTTCAAGATAAATGGATTTTTCTTCTGATTCTTCCTTTGTTCTTGATTTCAAAACCCTAGTGCTTTGTGTTGAGTAATAAAATGATATTTGTGATGATCTTTTGCTTAATTTCTTAAATTGTTCTATTGGAAAAATGCCGATGAAATTTGGGGAATTATGATTTACTTATGATTTGACAATTTGGTAGGAATTGCATCTCTTATATGGTTGTTGTGATAAACTTGAATTGCATTCAAGCACTGCTATAGAGTGTTAGAGGTTAGTCTATCCCAGTGGGAGTGAGATGGTTTCCTAACACTTGTAGTGATTTGTTGTTTGTGAGAACAACCACTATTATTCATGTAAGTTCAAGGCTTATGGATAGTATACCTTTCTTAGAAAGGATTCGTCAATGCCGTGGGAGACAGTATACGCCTTTCCTAAAGTGGTTTGTATGGTTATGATTGGGTGAACGAGGTGGATTCATTGTGTAGATTCATGGGAAGCGACCAACATACATGAGAATATGGGATGACACTATTGAACTATTATTATTATTATTGTGTGGAATTGGTTTCCTACAAAAGCTTGTGGAGGTGTGGGACTCTACAAGAACTTGGGGAAATGGTTAATGGATTTATTTAGCATGTTTATTCCTTTCATTTAACTTGTTGCTATTGAGTTAACTTAAGATCAAATAAATTGTCACTATTTTATTTCAAGTTATATATGCTACTTTGAAAATTGAGACCGAACTATTTTATATATTTTCTAAACCTTATTTGAGATTGGGAGAATGTTGCCACAGAGCTTAGTGCTCACCCCTACAAACTATATATTTTTCAGATTGTGGTCTTGACGAGGAGCTCAGAGTGGAGAAGCCGATATATTAGGAAGCTCCACTAGATGGGCTCGTGGACCCCGAGGAGGATGTCTATGGTTATATTCTCTTAGGTGCAAGACTAGGAAATTTCTTTTAAGATTATGTAAAGACTAATCTTTTGTTATTCCGCTACGAGTTTAAATGTAATTCTTTTGGGATGTAATTGTCATAGTCGATCATATTCTTTTGGGATATAATAGCCATGTGTTGGCATAATCTTTTGGGAATGATGTGGTAAATATTAAATTTGGTAAATGGAATTTCTTTATTGATGGATTTTATTAGTTGCTCTCATGATGTGGATGGTTGTAAATTGTAATGCCGTCCAATGTAGTTTTTGGGGCATTACATTTTGCCTATAAATAGCACCCCTTCGGTCTTGTAAAGAGTACTTTTTTCTCTTGTATCATCTTTCTTTTAGAGAGCATCTTCTGGTAATGGAAAACCCTCCAAAAGTCATTATTGTTTTCTTGTATCATCTTTCTTTCAAAGAGCATCTTTTGGTAGTGGAGAACCCTCCAAAAGTCATTATATCTTTCTTGTATCATTCCTTTGTTGAAAAGAGCACCTTTTGGTAGTGGATGACCCTCCAAAAGTTATTATTCCTTTCTTATTGTTGCTTTCTTTTCTTGTATTATTGCTTTCTTTTAATTTATTACTTTCTTTTATTGTATTATTGCTTTCTTTTATTTACATTGTCTTGAGCTTTCTTCTTCCATTGGAGGAGTGAAACTCTTTCACTTTTCTAGAGCTTTACCAAAGTCGTGAAGGGTGGAACGTGATTCACTTATTCTTTGTCGAAGATTGGCTTCATGTGTAATATGTTTTCCCTTGCAACTCCTCTACTTGGAGGGATGAGCATCACTCACTTTTCTAGTTTTACCAAAACCATGAAGTGTGAGTAGTTTCTCATCCAATCTTTAGTAAGAGGTGATTATCCAAAAGTTATATTTGTGCATTTCATTTATGCGTAGCTCTAGTCTTTAT